ACCAAGCTCTCATCCCATTGCTTTTGAGCGGTATTTCGACTGTTTAAAAAATCCGCATCGTCTGACAAGTTCACAGGTAGATGCCAATATGGGCTCACCTGTGGTGTACGAGCATGTGAACTGGTTTGCCACCATGCATTCCCAACTCCTTTCCAACCGACTCTTCCTTCGAAGAGTTTGCCGCCTGACCGTATGAAAACACGAATGAAATCACAAAAAACATGGCTAGCAAAAACGCTTACTAGGTGTCGAACTGTTTCTACCAGTGGAAAGATCAAAATCCACAAACAATTGTCCCACAAATCCCCTGAGAACCTGTGGCCATGACTGCTCACAGATTGGAAAATAGTGCGGATTGCTGAATTCCGGACCTACACAATATGCTCAAGTGTTAAACAAAAACTTCCTGAAAGAATTACCTCCGGCCTATCATCTGTCCCAAGCTTTTGTATAACACCAAGCACTGCGAGAAGCAGCGTATCACAATCCAGGTCCTTTCTTCCGGATGTAGTTGATCCTACGTTCCGATCTTCTGTTTCTTGAATTTCATGGTTGACACCTCTCGCAAAAAAATCTGATGTTGCCCATAAGAGACCTACAGAAGTCAGACTAATATTAATATCCGTCTTCTGTGCTCCATATGCAGCAGCAACGTCCACACACCTGCGATGAGATTTTATTTCAAACACTGAAAACTGTGAGACAAAGCCGTACATGTCCATAGCAGTCGAAGGTATTGACATGAGACAGTCATTCAGGATAACTTGCAAACTCTGCCACAGCAATATTAGGAACATAAACGATCAAGTGGTTCAGTCACAAACCTGGAAACCAAGTGGCACTAACTCCTTGTCACAAGTATTGGCTACTGATCTGGTAAGAATAACACCACGAGCTTAGCTGATTGGCGCCATAAATGCTCACCTTAACAGGTCCAATATATCAGGCCAGCTGTGATGCAGCTTTTCACCATGCCTCTGCACAACTTTAAATCAATAAAAACGGAGGTGAGGAAACATGTACCTCCAAAAGATGCAGCAAGATCTTCAAGGAACTTGACTGAACTTCATCCTTTTGGCAATTATCGAATAAAGTCTTGATCGGTAGTATGACCGCACATTCAAAAGCGTCTTTTCTCAGTGTCGAGGGATCATCAGCTGCGTCTTGACGCACTTGATCACACGCCAATACAGCACATATTGATCTATCGAGCGCATCCAGAGACACAGTACGAACTTGAGAACTTTCGTGCTCTGCCAGCTGCGTATAGACAAAATGAGATAGGCAAAAACATGCCAAAGACGGACCTTGATAAAGTGGTCAGTCAGTTCCTCCCAAAACACGTGCGCCCCTGAATACCGGTTAAGAAACGAGTCCAAATTAAAAACCGAGCTTACTGTGCACATTGTTCATAAGTACTGTTATCATGCGTTCAACTGCAAACATTTTTGATCCTGTTTGCTGTCCTTGTGCCCCTGGAGTTCTCGGACCAGAACTGGTGCCAGCAAGGCCAAGGCCTGTTGTTAATCCCTGAACTCCATTGCTTGAGACTTCCATAAGTCCCGCAAGTAGCGAACGGACGGCAGGAGTACTCATAATGCCGGAGCTTTCAAAAAGCTAACAAGAGAGACAACTTATTAGTCCTTTTATCAATGCTTCGCGTACCTGAGCATCTAGAGTTGATAAAATGTTGAAATCACTTGACTGACTTCCTTGATCACGAGTAATCCGAGGAACGACAGTTGAAATTTCCTAAAGTTGCCGTAAGCATGTTCGCATAACGCATACATATTCTGTTTTTAAATTCACACGGACCTGTGTTGTTGCATGTGGGGAGTGAATTACACGGTCCAGGGCCGCTAAAGTTTCCAAAACCTGCAAAAATAATAATAATAATTCCACGTCCTTACGACGTAGACTTTGGATAGAGCAATACCAGTATCCAAGACGAATCAAGAACATTGTCTAGCCGATGCGCGACATTAAAAAGCGTTCTCAAAGCCTGCAAAAACCGTTAGGAATCGTGGCGGAGGCCAGGAACTTAGAAACTTACTTGGACGTTTTTCGGTGTCAAAACTACACTCTCTCGCGGTTCTGCAGGTGGTTCGGAGCGTTTTAAGGCAGCGGGTGTCAGAGGAATCAACGGAATGAGATGTCCTCCACTAATAAACACATAGTAAGAACCAATCAATTTGCGTTGTGCCTGCAGCCACCCATCCATTACCTCGTAGCTTTTTCTAGTTCAACTGGTTGTGCGATAGTGAACTTGCATAGAGAAGAAAGGAAAGCATCTCGAGGTTCAACGATGCGAAGCACTCCACATGCCTAGGAAAAGTGACGTCCAAAAAATGCAATGGCCAACTGATTTCAAACCTGCGTAAACGCTTGGTAGGCCTTTAAAATTTCCAGCACTAAAGCCTCTCCCTGGCACCTGATAATTATTAGCAGAAATAAGTAGAAGCTTGCCTCAATAGAGCAATGAAACAGACCTAGAAAGAACCAGGGATAGAGCTTCTAGAAGCGTACGCCACAGTGCATTCACCATTGCAATGCAGAGCGTCGCATATGGACCTCCACGTATTACTATAACAGAAGAGTTTGGATTTTCACATCTTGGACTGGCAACCTGAAACAACATGCGATAAAGTATTTAAGAACTCAGCAATTTGTACCTCTCCTGACTCCGAGGCTTCATCCGTCAGCGTGGCTACCGTAAAAACAACTCCTAGAAGACCTTCGACAGCTAAAGTGATCGCATGCGCTTCACTGACAATTGCTATAGCAGCTCCACTCACATCGTTATCCAAGGACCACTCAACACCTAATGTAAAACAAATTAGACATAAATTTGAAAGTCACACCGCATTACCTTTAGCTTTGCTGTTGAACATACCCGACACGGCAGCCCAGCTTTCTTCGTTGTCATGTGCCTATTGCAAATGGAAACGTTATTCATATAAGAGGCGCCTGCATAACAAACCTGCATGCTGATGACAATGCGTGATAGCGCCTTCACCATGGCCCCAACAACATTCGAATTTTCAGGCTGCCTGCACAAAGAAGTGTTAAACAACAGTAAGGAAGTAAGAAATCTACGTACATATCAAAAGTTTCGAAGAGAAAACACAAAATTCTTGCTTCAATGCAAAAGCCCTGCTCAAAAAAGAAAGGAAAAAAAAAAAAGGAGACAGACCGTTATTGTGAAAGAAAATCAAATGCGAGACATACACGTAAGATCTCAAGCACCATAATTCGATGCCATGACGGTAAACTTGCATCCGTACTCTTCACAAGAAAGCTCACAAAAACCTGCGAGTTTAAAATCAACAGGAAGACAACCAAGGCAATTGAAGTGCACCTCACATTCCGCCAACACAATTGAACTGTATAGTCTAATGACATTAGCAACAGCTCTCAATATGATTCGCCGAAACTGCGGTTCACCTTCAGCCTACAATTCAAGTGTCAAAACATTTGGACTTCAATAGAAACACTAACCCCTGTTGTCGTTCTCAGAGACGTAGCTAGCAATGAGCAGACTTGGTTGCGGAGAACCTGCAGAATTTCAATTAATTGCGTGTTTGACAACAGAAAACCCCACCTCTTGATAGGGTCGGATATTTTTGAAAAGCGAGATGTAGTTGGAAAGAACATAGCTGAGGGATAAATTGGTTAAAATCTCAATTTAAATAAAACAATCATACTCACTCAAGCATGTCAAAAGCGAATGTTCGTTGAAGGGAGTGAAAAGAAAGCCACTTTGCCTGAAGTAAAGAAAAGAAACCAGTTATAATGTTCAGTATAAAACAAAAGCACTACCTGACCACCAGCCGCAAGTGACGTTAGATCTTCAAAAAGCTTGAGCCCAAGCCGGCCTTCTTGCGTCATAAAAACTCTGGAGTCCGAGCTGGAACCAGGAGCAGTTTCCTCAGTCCTACGTTATTGTGGATAGTACGCGTTCATTCCTTCCATTATGTGAGCAAACTAGATTTGAGGTACTTACTTGGCTGTCATCATGCTGCGACTAACATCTCCGGAAACCGAGTTCGAGCGTGATGGCCGCCTGCTTGACGTACCCTTCTGCGCAGGCAAATCTTCCGCATAAACCACACGTTCAAATATCAGTGCTATAGCCTGACGTAGAGTCGCCGCCGCAGTACTGAGAAAGAGTAAAAAAAAAAACACTTCGGTTACGACTGAGAGAGTCTCACGCTTACCTTTGGACGGAATCAGGATTGCGGCTCTTACCAAGTAAGCCGAGGCAAAGACCAAGAAGGATTGACATACTATTCTACAAAAGCAAAGCAAAAACTGTAAGTTAAACAGGAGGATACGTACTTACCTCGTCTCCCGGATGGAGCTTCGATTGAAGGATAGTGAGAATTGTTTGCAAAGTTTTCAGCTGGAGAATTTCATCATTTATCTCACAATGCTGCAAAGGCAAAAGAAGAAGAAGAGAAATAAAAAAACAAACGTCTCGTTAGAACTACACTAAAGGAATGAAAAACGGCCAATATACCTCTTGCAAGGTCTCAAGAATTTGTGGGAACGCCAAAGGAGGTACTGCGTCGTGAGCCAAGAGCTTTTGTAGGCACGAGAGTCCCAAAATGCTGAGCTTGACGTTCCTGGTATCACAGGCAAGCATGTAGAGCCGGAGAACATCATCGTTTCGAGCGATTTGGCTGGGATCAGTGACCGTTCGCAGCTGGAAATATCGCATACCCACGGATCAAACGCAAGAATTTGCCATCACTCACCTTAAGAATTGCGTGCTCAGCTGCATCCTTCACTGCCGGGTACTTGCGTCGAGCTTCCGCCGAGAGAGCTCGTAAATCCGCCTCCAAGGCAGCTGCCAGCGCCATTCTTTGTCAAGAACACTCCTCCGCGCGCATTTGCATTGAGAAATCACTCCAGATCTCCCAGAAATCTAGCAGATCCGCGAATGCGCGCTCCAATGCTCGCAATCCCCCATCTCGCCAAGCCAAAAACTTAGGGCTCGAGAGGAGGGTATATTCCACTTGCATCTTTCTCGTCCGTGCGTTTAGGGTTTATCGGCGCCTCGGCGCCATGAGGCTCGAGAAATGCTGGTTTTGCTCCTCCACGATCTATCCAGGCCACGGCATGATGTATGTGCGCAACGATGCCAAGGTATGAGCGCTTCGATCACAGATTTCTCGCGAAATATAAAATCGCTGGCTCTTAGATCTTTCGATTCTGCCGCTCCAAGTGCCACAAGAATTTCAAGATGAAGAGAAATCCTCGCAAGGTGAAGTGGACGAAGATCTATCGCAAGCTCCACGGCAAGGAATTGCCACAGGTATTGTCTGTTTTCCTTTTGTCACTTCTCACATGGTTTAATAGGACACTACATTTGAGCTTGAGAGGAAAAGAAATAGGCCGGAACGATACGATCGAAACGTTGTGGAGGATACTGTCAAGGCAATGAAGAAGATCAGTGAGACGAGAGTGGAACGAGAAGCTCAGTTCTGGAAGAACAGGTTTGTTTTTTTTTCTTTTTCTCATCATCCAGGACTGAGAACTCTCGCTAACAGGATGAGAGGCAAGAAGACCCAACAACGCAGGGAAGATCTAGCTGAGCTCCAGCAAGGAATTCACCTCGTCAAGGCTCCAACAGCGCTGCTAGAGGAGCCAAGCTTGACTCTCCCCAAGGAGAAGATGAAGGTGAAAGTCTCCGTGGAGCAGGAATCCAAAGCGATGGAAAGCTAGTCCTGACTCGAAAGAGTGGTACACAAATTTTGGAAACCGACTTGGAAAATCAATACGAAGCTTGCAATGGTTGCAATTGTCCCAAGAGTTTAGTGTCGACTCCAGAGTCACGAACCAGAGCTAATCGACCAGTTCTCGCAACCTGTGAACGAGAAAACTTAGAACTACGGTTCTCTAGAAACACTGTTAATACCTCGAGGATTCCATAAGGCTCTAGCAAGTGCTGAAGAGCAGCCATTTTCTCGAGATCTCCCGTCAACTAGAGCGCAAGTTTTAGCTTCTACGTGCACAGGTAAGCGAGCGAGTACCTCTAGTGTGATGCTTCGATTCGATAAATCCACTATTTTGGCACGGAAAACGTTGGCTATGTCGAGTATATCGCGCCGCGCGGATGGCAAAGCCGAGATTTTTATCAGCATTAGCTCTCGTTGTGCAAATGGTAAATGCGTGATGTCTTGGACCTGTTCGCGTTTTAAGACTGGATGATCCGAAAAAAAATTTGCTTTTGCTACTTGCCTGAACAACATCGATGAGCTTGGAAAGTTGATGAAGAAGCTTTCGAATGGACTCGTCTGTGCCAGGTACCACGGTCGTGATGCGCGAGATGCCTTGCCTTTCGGACAAGCCAACAGCCAGGCTCTAGAAGATCATAAAAACCAAGAGCGAAGTTCATAGCTAAGAAAAAACACGAAAGGAGTACCTGGATGTTATAACCCCGTCTGGCAAACACACCAGTCACACGATTCAAAACTCCAGGAGCATCGTTCACCACCATTGATAACGTGTGCGACATATAACCATTCGGCTGCAATGAGAAAGAAAGCGGTTTAAATGAAAACCAAGAGAAAAACACAATACTTCTGCCGCTTCAACGTCTCCCCAATCAGGATCTAAAACTTGGTGAGACCAAACGCCCTCGTCATCAGACTCAACAGCGTAAACATCACCCTTTGAAAGCACAAAACCAAAAGAAAACATTACTGCTTGCGAAAGAAGTACACAGAGCCTACCTCTGCGCTTGAGCTTGTCACGGGAATGTGTGTCACAACTTTCTCAGATGCCTGCTTTTCCAAATCGGACACTTTGGTAAGCGAGCTCACACTCGTCGCTTGCGGTAGAATTGGGGGTGCCACCACCTCTTCCGACTTGTCTCGGAGCAAAGATATCTGGGATAAAAAAACCGATAGCTAAAATGAAGAACCAATCTCCATTACCTTTCCAGTTCTTGCGAGCTCTTTGATCCCAAACTTGGTCATTCTTCGTTCTAGAGAGGCTAGCTTGCCAGCATCTCCTGTCACCTACAGACATGCCGTAAGAGAGATTTTCACAACGCTACAAACCAAACAAACCTCCAGAGTTAGAGAATCCTCGGCCACATCTACTACTCGCGCTCGGAAGATATCGACAAGACCAAGCACCTATAACTTTTCGTTGTTAAAGTGTGAGCTCAAAAAAAAAACAAAAAAGGAAGAAGAAAAAAAAATGCGTACCTCGGTTCTTTGAGCAGCAGGAACGTTTACTTTTAACAACATGAGTTCTCGTTCTACTCTTGGTTTCTTCGACAAATCCTCAACCTGAAAGAAAGCCCAACCTTGAAACACAAAAAGAAAAAAAGAGAAAACAGGAAAGAGATGGCACCTTTCGGACATTAACAAGCTTATATAGCTGCTTCATCACTTGCTGCAGAACACGATCGGTCCCAGAGACAACGATCGTAAAGAGTGCCTTGTCGCGGTTAAGTCCCACTGCCAGAGACTCTATATTGTATCCCCGACGTGAGAAAACTCCAGCGATTCGATTGATCATTCCACTCTCGTCGCCCACAAACACTGATATGGTGTAGCGTTGGATCCTTAGCATGCAAGGAAAAAAAAACATAGAAGAAGAAATTGAAATTTCCAGAGAAGAGAAGATCCTTACAGAGGAGGAGCTCTCGGAGGAGGCGCGTTGGGAATTTGCGCCGCCGCCGATGGCTCGATGACTCGCGAGGCAGCGCCGCACCGAGCGATGCAAAGTCTGCTGCGATTGCTCGCGCTCCATGAGAGATCGCTGGAATCGCAGCCGCCGAGATTCTTGAGGAAGGAGATTCTAGAAATGCCGCCGGTGAGCGGCAGCATTGCCGCATTCCAAGACGCCGCATGCGCCAGTGATGCCATAGGGCTTTGGTTAGGGTTTAGTCATCGGGCCTTTTATTTGAAGCAGAAGATTCCTAAAATATTATATTCTAGAATATTCTCCAATCTAACGGTTGTAATTAGAAGAAACTCACATTCTTGCTCGTTTGAGCTCCAATCGGGCGATGGTTTGGAGATGGACATCGTCTGGACCGTCCGCGATTCTCAGCGTTCTTGCTGCTGCCCACAAGTGCGCAAGCACCGTGTCTGAGCTTACTCCAGCTCCACCGTGAACTTGGATCGCGGAGTCCAGAACTTTGAGAGCAACTCTGGGAGCAGCGACCTGAAACACACATTTCATCAGTCCGGAAGCTATGATCTTATCAACAACACTGCCTTACTTTTGCCATTGCAAGAGCGCCCCGTGCAACCTTTGCTCCGTGATTGTCAAGCTCGTTGGCCGCGTGAAGGACTAGCAGTCTCGTTTGTGTGATCTCCAGGCGACACTGCTCACAAGAGAGCTCAGTCTGGAAAAAAAACGACGTGAAAAGCTTACCTGGGAAACCTCCGAAGAGAACGCTCCTTGTTGAGCAATGAGCTTTCCAAACACCTTTCGTTGCAACGCTCTGTGAACCATCAGCTCCAAAGCTCGCTCAGCGGATCCGATCAAGCGCATGCAATGGTGGAGTCGTCCCGGCCCAAGTCTTCCCTGTGAGAATAAATGTTTTTAGACATGAATAAACTTCTTAGGAGGAATCAATACCTGGGCAATCTCGAAACCACGTCCTTCGGCCCATAGGATGTTCGTCGCAGGAACTTTCACGTCTTTGAAAAGCACCTCGGCATGTCCATGCGGGGCATCGTCGTAGCCAAAGACTGTTAGCGGTCGTATGATTTCTACGCCAGGAGTTTTAATGTCCACGAGGATCATAGACTGTTGTTTGTGCAAGAGCGCATTGACATCAGTCTTTCCCTGTTAACAGAAGAAAGCACAGAAAACTTAAGACTAGCAAAATGAAGGTCGTACTAACCATGACTATCAAAATGCGACATCTAGGATCCATAGCTCCGCTTGTCCACCACTTTCGTCCATTGATGATATAATGTTCTCCATCCCTGGAGTTTAATGGTTCAAGTATAAAACAAAACATGCAACTTCAGAAAAAGAACCTTGTTATTTTGCACTCGATATTCGTCGCGTCCGAAGAAGCAACATTAGGCTCTGTCATGGCAAAAGCTGACCGTATTTCTCCCTTGAGAAGAGGTTTTAGCCATGTCTTTTGCTGCTCTGGACTGCCGTATCGTAACAAAACCTGCAAAAACCTCGGTCACGTTTCTCTCTGTCGGAATTTAAGATTGCTAGTCACCTCCATATTCCCAGTGTCGGGAGCGCTGCAATTGAAGACTTCAGGAGCCCATACCGAGCGTCCCATTATTTCGCAGAGGTGTCCATACTCGAGGTTGCTGAGGCCCGCGCCAACTAGCCTGTCAAAGTTTTGAGCGTCGTCCGTGTCAAACAAGATTTTGGAGGCCATTGCTGCACTGTCGGCCTGGAAAATCCGTAAGAAACATTGCAAAGGAAAATAAAAAACGCCACACTTACTGGGATCCACAGATTCCAAAGGCCCTCGGCTTGAGCACGATGTTTTAGCTCTTCTTGCAGCGGGTGGACAGTCCACCTCTTTTCCGTCTTCGCATGAGCGGATAGAAGTTCCTCGTTTGGGTAAATGTATTTTTCCATGAAAGTCGCAAGTTGTTCTTTAAGCCGTAAAACTCTGGACGACGGAGAAAGACCTGGATGCTTGTTCCCTGTCATACAAAAACAGGCTCTTAAGAAGATAGGAAGTACGAAATAGAAAGGACGACTAACCAATTTTCGCAAATGAAGGTGGAACATCAGAAATAATAGGTCCACCATTGATCAGCTCAAGTGCACATGACGCTAGATAACAAGCAAACTTGCCACTAGATTCTGCACGTTTCCCTCCCGAAGCATTTCCCTTCAACAATAATCAACCCAAAGTCGGTTTTTTTAAAACAAATTTGAAAGAACTTACAAGCAAAAACCGATTATACACGCCTGCAGAAATTGCAGCAAGCCTGAAAAGAGACAGAGCTAGATAAAACTTCCAGTTAGGCCCAGGCCATGATGCTCCCTGAGTTTTAAACAACCATTAGACCAAAACAAAACAAAGATATGACTTACTCCTTCGGCACAATAGGTAGCAACAAACTCCTCTTGTGTGGGTAGACCATCGGAGGGAGCCCCTTTGTCAAAGCCATAGTAGCCCGGACCGCCGCTCTTGACGTTGTCTATAACATATGGCTGCTGCACCGATGTTTTCAGTGATCCAACTAGTAACAATCAGCAAAAACGTACCATACAATTATAGGCAACATCGGACATTCTGTTTCCGAGAGTCGAAAGTTCCCAGTCTAAAACCGCCAGGACGCGAGCCTGAAGTATTCACGATGAACGACGAACATAAAACAGAGTGATGAACAAACCTCAGTTGGATGGAAAACTAGATTGTCGATTTTATAATCCCCGTGAACTATTCCCCCACAGTCTCTCCGAGCATCCTCAGCTGGCACGTTACTTCTCAGCCACCTTGTAAGCTTCAGCATGGAAGGGTCCGCGGGTGGCTTTCCTTCAGCCGTGGACGCAGCATATTGCGATGCCCACCTCTCAATCTAAATGACGAGTAGAAAGCTTGGAGTCGAGCGACGAAGAACAAAACCAAAGCCATACCTGTCGCTTACAGTAGTTTTCGAGACGCCCAAACTTTCCCAGGCCGACACGATCGACGTCAATTTTGTGAATAGCAGCAAGCGTTTTAGCCATGGCCTGGTAAACTTCCTTTCGTTCTTCAGGCTTGACGCTCTGGATGATCCAACACGAAGTGGTAGTCAGTCCAACATATAGATTTTACCTTCAGTCCAGGATCAAGGAAAACGCGGCCTTCGACATAGTCCATAACGTAGAATGGCGTGCCAATGACACTCGGATCGTTGCAAAGGCAAAAGACTCTGGGAACTGGCACAGTTCCTTCTTTTCCAAGAGCAGCCAAAACCTTCGAGACGAAGAGAAAATCAAAGATAGAAACCATGAACTAGCTATGAACAGGCACCTGGTATTCGCGCTCCACAGCGTGTGCCGACTGGAGCAATTTCCCAGGAGGCTTTTTGCGAAGAACATAGAACTTCACAGCATTGCCACCCTCGGCTTTTAACCGATAAGTAGGATTGGATTGCCCGTGTCCAAACTAAAAGAACGATCACCACACCAGGAAGAAGAAATTCAGTGATTTTTACCTGGGAGACTGTGAGCTTCGCCGGCCGCGGTGGAAATCCTTCCACCGATCGGTGGAGATAATCCAGCAGCGAAATCTCGTCCAATCTGTGAGCTTCTTGCACCGATTCGATCATGTCGGATGTCATCGACGCCATCGCCGCTGGATCGCACTCAATGCAAGAGCTAATCGCTAAGCTGAGCTGCTAGCCACGGCGATCGCGAATGTTGCGAAAAACCCTAGCTAGCTATCATGACTTCTGTGCAGCCCATTCTATTTCCAAATTTCCTTTTATCTTATTCAATAAGAATAATAGTATTAAACTAGGATTGAGCTAGGGTTTTTGGTTAGGGCTTGTGCTCCATGGCGGCTCCTCCTCGCGCGAGCAGTAGCCGCGCAGCGGTCCAGGCGACCAATGACGATGCCTCCGCGAGCAAGCTGTGAGTAAATCTCTCCCCCTGTCATTTTCTCTCGTGATGAGCATCAAAATCTACAACTTTCGTTCTACTGAACACCAGAATGGTGTTTGTAGAGAAGAGATTTGGTGCTGAAGAGTGAAAGAGTGGATTTTCCTTTCTTGTTTGAGATGATGATGATGAATCAGATTTCACATCCAACACTTGGACTGATTCGTCTGTGATGGCTTTCTGCAATTCTGAATCAGAGAAAAGCTGCTTCTTTTTTTTCTTGTAAGGCTCGATTGATGAAAACCTTTTGATGCTTTCTACTGATCGCTCGAGAGAGCGTGTAGAAAACTTTGGAGACCTGAGCTGACGAGCATTTCATCGGCATTAGCCCCTTTTTATCAAGTGATGATACAGAAAATAGCATCTTAGGACACCTTCCTACATGGCCTGGCCATGAATGCGAGTGAACCTGTACCTGATGATAGCATTTTGGCTCTATGATTCTTTTTGTGTATACGCTATGCTGAGTTTTTGATGCTGAAGTTTCAATCGTATGAGAGCCACTATCTGTTCCTCCTGAGCTAACTTGATTCAACTTTAGATCCTGTGTAAGGAAAGGCTACATGACAGACAACTACGTTCAGTATTTCGTGAGAAGACCTGTTAAGAGGTCACCTTTGATCAACAGAGGTATGCGTATGATGGTTCTTTGCGATTTTCAATCACATTGTTCTTCAGGGTACTTTGCTCGATGGGCTGCTATACGGGCGCTCTTGATGCAGTTCCTTTCTCAACCCAGCTCGAAAAGGAAGCAGATAGTTTCTCTGGGAGCTGGTTTTGATACAACGTTCTTTCAACTCAACGTGAGCTTTTTTTTATTGCTATGAAAGTTCAGCTCACGCTATTAACAGGAGGAAGAAAATGCTCCGGATATTTTTATGGAGGTGGATTTCTTGGAGGTGACAAGTAAAAAGGCTATGATCGTTGCGGCGTGCAAAGAGATGGCAAGACACCTTGAATCCCCAGTCTTCGCCCCCGGTGCGTTTCTGTGCTGACTTTGTGCCAGGTTTTTTCTTATCTTGTTTACGATTGAATGGATAGGATTGCAGAAAAAGGGGAAATAAGCAGTGAGCACTACAAGCTCTTTGCTTGTGATCTAACAGACACCGCAAGGCTGGATGCTGTCTGCGAAAAGGCGGACTTGGACTTAAGGTAATTCTCTCGACCCAAAGATGAGCCTTGCTGACATCTTTTTCTTACTGCAGTGCACCGACCCTGATTCTTGCGGAATGTGTTTTGATATACATGGATCCAGAGGCTAGTCGTGCACTTTTAAGATGGGCCGCGAGCAAGTTCTCAAATGCAGTATTTGTAGCATATGAACAAGTGAGCACTTTGCTATCATTCTTTGCGTCGTCTAATTCAGCCACAGATCCATGGAGAGGACGCCTTTGGGCAACAAATGATACGAAATCTCGAGGTAAAACTTTGTTCTGAGATGCAACGTTTTCACTGGTGAACTATCTTACATTCATAGAGCCGTGGATGTCCTCTACTGGGAATTCACGATACATCTACGCTCGAGTCCAAGATGAACCGGTTCTTAGAAACAGGATGGAAGGTGAACCGTCCTTGTTCCAATTGTGAAGTACTAAATAATTCTTTCAACGCCGACAGAGGGCAGTGGCGGTGGATATGGACGAAATCTACAATCGTCACATCGATCCTGTTGAGAGGAGAAGGTATCAACTCACTGTTTTTCAGTTTTTTTATGCGCTTCCAACTTTGAGCTTTTCGTTTTGTCAGGATCGAGAGGCTGGAGATCTTTGACGAGTTTGAAGAATGGCATATCATGCAGGTAAAAGAGTTTTTCTCCTGTGAATTCTAGTTTCTCAATTCCATTGCAGGAGCACTACTGTGTTGCTTACGGTATCATCGATGAGAATGTAAGCAGCATTCCCTGTTTTGTTCACTGTTCGCTCAAGAGTGTTTATCTTGCCTTGACAGGAAACGTTTGCTGGATTTGGATTTTCGCAAATCTCCAGCGAAAGCTAGCTGACAATGGTGTCTATATCCCTGTGATGAATTTACTCCCGAGAGATTGTGTTCTTGTGCTAGAAATTGAGTAGAAGAGGTCGCAATATCTTTGTCATGTTTCACAAGGGTCATACGGAACTACCGAAGAGGCTGTACAAAAGCAATAGATTCGAATTTATAAGCACGAGTATCATGCCTTTTGTCTAGCACTAGAAACTTGCTTTTTTAAAACCCTCGTTGGGGAGGGCTAGAGCGCGATGCCTCTTGGATGATGCTGGTGAGCGTAGCGTGGCCTTCCTCTCGATTAGATCTATCGCGCATCGCGCTGTTCGCCATCGTCAGCTCGCCTCCAGGTAGAAATCTCTATCTCGATATCGTTCTCCGGATTGAAATATTGCCCGATTCTCGTGAATTTCTTGTTCCTGCCGTGTTTTCTCGGATCTCTCATTGAATCGATGGCGAAATCTTGCAGCGAATCGAGTGTTGCTTCCAAGAGCGCGTCACACAGCACCGAAAAAGATCACGCATCGGACGCTGTGTGTGACGAGCTCGGCAATACCGCTCGCGGAGCATTCTTCTCTGGGAGTGGCGCCTCTGCCGATCGAAGACGAGGTTTCCACACAGGACGACGTCTTGAAATCACACCAAGGATCGTCCGACTCCATTGTTTTTCGCGTCCACGAGGATAGGTACAATGGAGTCATCGTTGATCCCGACAGCCTACCAGCCGATGTTCCAACTTTCGTTGATCGATTGGAGAGATCTCTTGCATCTTGGCGAGAGAAGGTCTGGTTTACATTCTTTGTCTAGTGTTTGTCTAGCTATCTCACGCTTGAATTTTTCAGCAAAAAAGAGGTGTTTGGCTCAAGTTGCCCATAGAGAAATCCAATCTCGTTCCACACGCGATTGAGGTACTTTTGCTTCTTAAACATTGTTCTATGTTTTCTTAGAGGCTGGACAGGCAGGATTTAGATACCACCATGCGGAGCCAACGTATTTGATGCTCACGCACTGGCTTGCCGATTCTCCCTGCACGCTGCCAGCGAATGCCTCACACCAAGTTGGAATTGGAGCATTCGTCGTGAACGACAGAGACGAGGTAAGGACTCGCCTTTTTAGCAATACTCATCGGTGTTCTCGCAGGTTCTCGCGGTCCAGGAGAAAAATGGACCGCTGAAAGGCACAGGGATTTGGAAAATGCCCACAGGATTGATCAACCAGGTGTAGAAAGCTAGTCTTTTTTTTGGTCTCTATCAGATAGTAAACGTTTTCCGTCTTGTTTAATTACAGGCCGAGGACATTTTTGCGGGTGCTATACGAGAAGTCAAAGAAGAAACTGGGGTAATGCTTTGAAATTGCAGTCATGGTTGTGAATGACACGGCTTTTTCTTTGGTATTTCTTGACAAATCTTCCAGATCGACACGGAGTTCGTAGAAGTCGTGGGTTTTAGGCAGGGTCATCACGTGGCCTTCGAGAAGTCGGACTTGTTCTTCGTGTGCGTTCTTAGACCTCTCTCGTCGCAGATAACCAAGCAAGACTCGGAAATCGAGGATGCCAAGGTAAGATCATAAATCTCTACTCCAGAAAGAAATGTTCTAACATAACTGATCGATCTGCAGTGGATGCCATTGTCAGAATTTGGAGCCCAGGATTTCTTCCAGAGCCGGAGCATGCTCAAGAAGATCCTGGAAGTTTGCATCGCGAGCAAAGAGAAACAGTACAGTGGCTTTGGCTCGCGGGCGATGAGCACGGGCTTTCAGCGCAAACTCTCCCACTTCTACTTCAATACCGCCCAAATGGGCAAGCTTTAAAAATTTGTAAATATTCGTAGAATATGCTAGTGCTTCGCGGGCATAAGCTCCACCGTCGATTTAAGATCTAGTCAGGCTAGGTTTATTTAGGGCTCTTGGCATTGACGATGGGAACGTGAGGAGTCCGGTCCACAATGCGCGCGCTACGACGCCTCCAGTGCTCGGCATTGCATTCCAGGGCATGGAGTAGGGCTGGATCGGGAAGCTACTCGCCGCCTTGGTATCCAGTAGCAGAGAATTCGTATCGCATTCGATCTTTCTGCTCGGGCGCCGATCGAGGATTATTGCACGGCACTAGGCTTAGATCGTACTGGCAGCAGCAGCGCCATAGATCGTGGAGTTTTGCTGCCGCGGCGCTCGTCGCAGTAAGGTAAGATCTATCTCTCCCTCTCTGTGCTTCATTTTAGAAGTCTCACAAGGATTTTCTTGCCAGTGCTGTAGGCCTTGCGATTGCGATCAGTGACGGTGTGTTGAATCCGCCGCTGGCTGTGGCTCAAGACAAAAATACTGGTAAAAAGAAGAAGATCGTGATACTTGGCACTGGCTGGGCAGGTGTCAGTCTCTTGAAAGATTTGGATGACAAGCAATACGACGTGGTTGTCATCTCGCCCAGGAACTATTTTGTTTTCACGCCCTTGCTGCCTAGCGTCACTGCTGGAACTTTGGAACCACGGAGCATTACGGAGCCTGTTCGAAGAATAGTTGTGAGTATACTAGCGTTGTTTCTTATGTTTCTTTTCTTTTTTCTTGGCCTTATCATTTTCTTCTTGGCTGCGTTACGTACAGGCACACCGAAATGTTATGTATTGTGAAGCAGAATGCACGAACATCGACCACGTCACAAAGACTGTAACGTGCGTAGATTGTGCTGAAACGAAACCGTCGAGGCCTCACGTTGAGTTTAAGATAGACTACGACTATCTGGTCATTGCGGTGGGCTGCCAGACGAACACCTTTGGGACGCCTGGAGTTGCCGAGAACTGCCATTTCTTGAAGGTATGGACCTGGATAGTTTTTGGAGTTGACGCTTCAAATACTTTGCAGGAGGTTGAGGATGCCGAGAGAATACATCAAAACGTGGTGGATTGCTTTGAAAGTGCCAGCATTCCCACTCTGTCGGACGCCGAGCGTCGAGCGCGGCTCAACTTTGTTGTTGTTGGAGGGGGCCCGACTGGCGTGGAGTTTGCAGCGGAGTTGTATGACCTTGTGTACGAGGATTTGGTGGACCTTTACCCTGTTACTCGTGATGCAGTCTCTATAACTCTGATACAGTCGGGAGATCACATACTAAACATGTAAGTTCTTTGCATTCTGTTGATGTTGCATCTTTAACTCCTTTATTGTCTACCTTGCGACAGGTTCGATGAACGCATTAGTAAATATGCGGAAGACAAGTTTAAACGAGATGGAATAAACGTTCAAACAAACTGCCACGTTAATGCAGTAAAGGAAAATGAAGTAGAGACGACAGAAAAGAAATCCGGACAAACTGTTATGATTCCTTTCAGCTTGGCTGTTTGGTCGACGGGCATTGGAACACGACCATTGATCAGGAAGTTTATGGAGCAAGTTGGACAGGTATAAGAAGTTTTAATTCTTCGCTGGTTTGATTGTTGTTGCATTTTGATAAATTTACAGAAGAACAGGCGGGTTTTGGCTACCGACGAGTGGCTTAGAGTAAGAGGTTGCGAAGGAGTGTTTGCAGTAGGAGACTGTGCTACCATTGAGCAGCGAAAGATCATGGTTTGATGCTTTAAGTTTTGTTTCTCCGCTAAGGCGTTTGCTGAAACTACCTTGTGGGCTTTGCAGGAAGACATAACGTACATATTTAAACTGGCTGACAAAGATCAAAACGGCATCCTGTCACTAGAGGAGTTCAAAGAAGCAATGGAAACCATAAGGGGAAGATATCCTCAAATAGATATGTACCTCAAGAGCCACCACCTCGCCAACACTATGAGCCTACTGCACGAGGCAAAGCAGCTCGGTCAGGAATCTGAAGTGGAGCTCGACATTGACAAGTTTAAGCAGGCACTTGCTCAAGTCGATTCCGAGACGAAACTCCTTCCCGCCACTGCTCAGGTACCAATTTGTGTTTTTCTTTCTTTGTGCTTTTTCAAGAGTTGAATCGTGCGTGGTATGCATAGGTTGCAGCACAACAAGGGACTTACTTGGCGCGCTGTTTCAACGACATGGATTACTGCGAGGAGCACCCAGAGGGACCAGTTCGCGTCCGAGCGTCTGGGCGTCACAGATTTCAACCATTCAGGTACCACAGCTCTCGTTGTTTCCTTTTGTTTTAGACTCACTCTCTCTCTCTCTCTCTCGCGCGCGCGCGCGCCTTACAACAGATACAAGCATTTCGGGATGTTTGCGCCTCTTGGTGGCGAAGAAGCGGCGGCGGAGTTGCCAGGGGATTGGGTTTCAATCGGTCGAAGCAGTATGTGGCTTTGGTACTCGGTGTATCTCAGGTACTTCGTTTCCTACGCACCCGAAATCTTCTCGTTTCTCATTCTTTCTCGTGTGAAATTTGTGGAAAACAGCAAGCAAGTCAGCTGGAGGACTAGATTTGTTGTTCTTTTCGATTGGACAAAGCGGTTTGTTTTTGGAAGAGATTCGACTCGTATTTAAGCCGTCAAGCTTCACTTGTTTATAAACATTCTAATTTGTACCGTGAATATAGCCATTCGTTATTGTTATAGATGTTTGAAATCCGTTCCTTCTTCTTACGTTCCATTTGCTTACAAGCTCTTCGTGGATCTTGGTCACCGACTCCAAGCAGTCCTGGTTGATGAGGAGCGTGATGTGGGTGATGCCTCTGGAGGTGAGCTTGGAGCAGAGGTTGAGCATGGGAATTACGTGGCCAAGCAGTGGATGTGAAAATACAAGGATGTGCTTGTATTGAGAAGGTCAAGATTTTGAAATTTCTATAATTCTTGTTTCTTTCATTTCATCAGATCATCAAATGTTTTCGTGCCAAAGCAGGAAAAAAAAGCATGAATGAAAGCTTTTTCTGCCAAACCGTTTGTTTCATGGAGAAAATCATTTTAATAATCAAGCAAAAGATTAATTATATAATTGTGCATTCCCCTCATTCAAGGTAAAATGTCCATTATGGTTGGGACGTTTGATTAGTTAGCATTGTTCTTTTCGTGTTTGTGCCCTCCTGTCAATCGCTCAATCCTGAAACTCTGGCTGATTAGCTGTGCAAACAAAAACGAATATTGAAAGAATATTTCCTTCCAGGAGTCAATGCATTTTGACCCAGCCTCGTTCACGATCGGTAATAATCTGCAATGGAGCTAGCGTTCATTTTCTTACTCTAGAAAAAATTAGATGCCACATTACAGGAGTTTAATCAATACCTAAGGCCTATTAGCTCAGTTGGTCAGAGCGTGGTGCTAATAACGCCAAGGTCGCAGGTTCGAAACCTGCATAGGCCAGTTATTCTATTCTTATATAATTTTGTTTAACAATCAATATGAATATGCTAGAGTCCTCTAGAATATATGGGAACACTCTAGAGGTGTCATCCCAGTGTATAAAAGAGGAGAGCAATCGCTCACATCCAGCATTGATCAAGTCTATTTGTTTCTAGCATTCACCTGGCAAATCTCTTGCCCACATGGCTTTGTATTTCTACAGCAATGGCGGTTCAAACATCTTGGATCCCTTTGAGGAGATCTCGTCCATCTTTTCTTGTGGCAACAGCAGCGCCGCCGCCAACACTCGCGTGGATTGGGTCGAGACACCCGAGGCACACATCTTCAAGGCCGATCTCCCGGGTGTGAGTAGAGAGCAAGTGAAGATCAGCGTGGAGGACGGCCGCACTCTCCAGATCAGTGGCGAGAGGAAGAAGCACGAGTCTGACAAGAGCGATAAGTGGCACCGCGTGGAGCGCAGCCACGGCAGCTTCTTGCGGAAATTCCGGCTGCCCGACAGTGCGAATGTGGAGGCGATCAAAGCGACAGTAGAACACGGTGTCCTCACTGTCACAATTCCAAAGATCCCCAAGCCACAGCCACGAACAATCCAAATAGAATAGAGAGCGGTGAAATGGATGGGAATAAAGTGAAAGCTCTCTTTTAACTTTTATTTATAGTTTTTTTAATTATTGTACGTTTAAGAATTATAAACAAGGTGGGCTTTGAGAATATTCTTTATTTTGTGCTGTTTTAATGGTGAGGTGAAAATTTGGTCGTAAGCAACAGCTTCTTTATTGACGACCTCTTACTGTGATTATCTCCTAGAAACTAGGCAGGTAAAACTATAGAATATGTTTTTTTTCGGCAGCTCCTCTGCTAGCCGCGAAACAATAGTTCCACGCCCAAAACATTTGTACTCTGGTTTTCTTCTCGCTCTTGCTCAATGGATAGTGTAGATCATTCTAATTTTCACAGAAACTCCTTCCCTACTCTTCTCCATGGGTTCGGAAAGCAAATACATCCCACAAAAGGCCCATTCCTGACGAGCGAGATCTTGAGATACAGGGAAAGAAATTTACTGGGTTAATGCTAGAATCATGTGAGAAACTGCTCCTCTTTTATTATGTTTATGATCAACTGAGGTAAAATTAAATAGGCTGACAGGTGCCACAGAGCCTGCGAAGATGCAGTGGCCTTGGCAACAATCACGGTCTTTGGAGCACCGTGCCAAGGTACCCCCGCATCCTTCGAGGAGTTTCCTAGTGACAATCCCGTTCTCCCCTGGATATTTTATTAGCAAAACTTATGGTTAGAGATCTGAATTTTAACTTACCTGTTGCAAGTGTCATCGAAACCACAAAAGAGAAGAACAAAAGCTGGTTGAGAGCTGACTCTTTGCCATTGTGTTGTGTGAATTGTTGCCTCGAATAGGCTAGCTTTTATACTCTGGGAGTGTGGTCTGATGTGAATATTCTAAACGTCAATCCTTGTACCAGCCACAGTTTTCCTATTGATCCAAGAAAAATGAAGCAAAATCTAACCTAACTAACATATGGCAGATCAGATCAAATCATAATCAACTTTTCCCTGGTTCTGTTTATGTAATATTTATTAACTTTTGATCATCTCGACTAAAGTGAAAGCTCTCTCTAACTATCATTTATCCTAATTTAATAATGATGTTTTACTTCAGTTCAGAACTTTTTAATTTGAATTAAACATTTTTTTATTTGTATTTAAGCAAAGTAGTATATCTAAGTGGGCTTTGAGAATTATTTTTGTTTTGCACTTTTCTAATGGTCCAAATTGTATTATATCTCATTTTAATGGATAAGATTAGGTGTGTGTCTAGAAAATCTTAATTACCATACACAATCAATTTTCTTAATCTAATGGTTCTAAATTATTAACTACTATTAACTTTTTTAATGCTAGTTCTCAACTTTTCTAGTAACACCTATGGGAGGCTACTCCACTTTATCTTATAAATATAGCAACAATCTTCGGGAAAGAATTTTTTTATATGTTGTCATGGTAATGATACATGTTTTTAAGTGCCCAGATGGAGACATAAGACCATAATATAATAAATGCCAATAAAAATCTTTTATACTCTTTTGTTTTTCTAGTTTTCAATTTTGGTGATGTGGGTAGAAATTAAAGGGTGAAACTACTGGTTAATATTCTTAATTAAAATGTTTAATTTTAAGATCATTGGGTTATATTTTGCTTCATTTTTTCTTATCAATATACATTGAGGAACTTTAATTATGATTGGCAAAATTGTGGTTGGTAGCAAGGATGAGGTTTAGAGTATTCACAAAAGTTAGACCACACCGTTGTTAATTTTGTTATATGATATTCACTCCCAGAGCATAAAAGCTAGTCTATTCGAGGCAACAATTCACACAACACAATGGCAAAGAGTCAGCTCTCAACCATGGTTTTGCAGCTTTTGTTCATCTCCTTTGTGGTTTCGACGGCACTTGCAATAGGTAAGTCAAAATTCAGATCTCTAACCATAACTTTTGCTAGCAGGGGAGAACGGGATTGTCACCAGGAAACTCCTCGAAGGATGCGGGGATACGTTGGCACAATGCTCCAAAGACCGTGATTGTTGCCAAGGCTCGCAGGCTCTACGCTTGGAACGTGTCAAACTTTCTAGTTTTACCTCAGTTGATCATAAACATAATAAAAGAGGAGCAATTTCTCTGCATTCCTGCATTACGATGCAAATGCAAGGCCATCAATGGGGAAAGTGGTGACATGATTCTAGCATTCACCCGAGATCTCGCTCGCCTCAAAGGATCACAGAGAGAGAGAGAGAGAGAGAGAGAGAGAGAGAATGGCATGGCGAGAGAAAATCTGGAATGATCCATGCTATCCAAAGAGCAACAAGAACATCAGAGTACAAATGTTTTGGGCGTGGAGCTATTTTTTCGCGGCTAGCAGAGGAGCTGCCGAAAAAGAACATATTCTATAGTTTTACCGTGCTTTCCGCATTGAGAGAGTTTCCAGGAGATCATAAACTTCATCACAGTGCGCTTAGTTTAGTGGCTTCTCCAATCAAAAACTCAAAGCTCAAGAAACCGTAATTCCCCTTGGAACGAAAGAGTGCTGGTCTACTTGCGCCATATTGTGTTATTCAAAATTTTAGACACCCACGAATCCATACGCTCTATCTGCGCTCTCCCAGACAGATAGAGAAGAAAGAACCCCACCAACTTTTCACCAGACCACAAAGTCTGGTGTACGCAAAGATTACAAACAGAAATTAGAAAAACAAGAACACACACTCTCTCTCTTAAACATCGGCGTCCACATCCTTCTCTTCGTTTGGCTTGGCGTCGCCGCTCTCTTCCTCCGCCGGCGGCGGTGGAACCTGTTCTTCCTCGGGCAGCGGCTCCTCCACATAGTCATTCTCAAACGCGTCCGATGGAACCAGGTACAATCTCACCTGTGGCTTCTGCGGGTCCTTGACAAGAACATACTTACCTTCGGCCAGCTTCAAGCAAACATCCACGATCGACTTGACAATCCCCCACATGTTGTTGGTGCTGAGATTGATCTGCGCTGCGAAATCCTTGGGCTTGTGCCCCTGGACGCTCAGCACCGTGTGGTTGTAGTGATCGCGGGGATGGATCCTCGACACGTACCCCAGCTTCATCACGTCCGCGCTCGCCAGCAGCGCCTGCGCGGTCCACTTGGCGAGCTTGTTCGCGTTGTTCTTGAGCTCGGTCGCCAGCACCGCGCCGCGCTGCGTCTCCAGCTTCTGCCTCCAGTCCACCCCCGAGAGCTTGGGATCGAACTCGTTGAGCGCGTTGAGCGTGAGGAAGACGCTGCCGTTCTTCGACTCCATGACGCTGTGGAGCTCGCAGCGCGCCACCAGGAACGTCTCGTCGTCGAGCTTCCAGCGGCGGTACCTGTACGCCACGCTCGCCGCCACCTCGCTGTCCCCGGCGAACGGGTTCTGCTCCTGGAACTGGACCTTGCCGCCGTCTCGGACGAGCACTTGCTGCGAGAAGTTCTGGTTGATGTACGCCGCCTCCACGCTGAGCGAGTGCGCCGAGTTGATGTCCTCCTTGGCCTCGGGCAGTGGCTCCTGGCAAGTCTCGTTCACGGACAGGAGATCCAGCTGCGAGTTGTCCCGCTTGTCGAAGAAGAGCTTGTTTCCAACGCGCTGGACGACGATGTCCCACGAGTAGACCGAGCGCGGAGCACACATGAGCGTGGAGAGGATGTTGTCCGTCGCGAACACCGTCGCCTTGTCCTCGCTGGCCAGGCGGCGGATCACCGGATCATCGCTCGTTGTCACCTTGAAGAAGTTCATGTTCTTGAAGCGCTCCAGGCGGCGGTCGGTCTTGGGCGTGACGCGATCGTAGGCCTTGTCGTAGTACTCGAGCGCGCCACACATCGCCAGGTCCTCGGGCTCGCCAACGTTGAAGTTGAGCTTGGAGAAAGTCGTGAAGGGGATCTGATCCAGCATCGTCCACTCGGGCTGGATGTCCACCGAGCTCCGGAACGCCGCCGCCTCGCGCCGCTGGGACGTCCGGTTCTGGTTGTACTGCTTGTCACGCCGCTGCTTCTCCTTCTCGGCCTCGCGCTTCTTGGCCTCGAGCTCCTCGTCCTTGCGCTGAGGGAGGAGGCGCTGGTTGGGCCGCCACTTGTTGTAGTTCCGCCGCGGCGGCGGCTTCCCATCCACGGGCTTGAATGTGTCCTCGTCGGCTTCATCGTAGACGAAATCAAAGACGCTCTCGCCCGCGCGCATACCTCGAGAGGGATAGGATCGGCTCCAATCGGCGGCGCGCCCCAGCTTCTCGTTCTTGGCGAAGGGCGCCAGGAGGAGCGGGCTTTGCGCCGCCGCCGCTGGCAGTGTCGATGACTCCGGCGGCCCCCATCCCTCGGGATTCTCCACCACGTCCGGGACCTTGAACCCCGCCCTCACCATCGCTCGCGCCGCCCTAATCCAAGAACCCTAAAATGCTGCTAGAACCCTAAAACGATGAGCCTGAATATACTGAGAACATTCGTTTCGGGAATATGCTTGATTATGCTTTTAGGGCACGAAGAGCACGAGGAGGAGGGCGACAAGTGGAAGGAGTGGTGGAGACGGAGGCGGCGGCGAGGAGGAGAATTCCGGGGCGGTGGCGGTGATGTTCCGCGAGGGGGCGGTGGTGGTGGCGGTGATCGCGAGCTTGAGATTGGAGACGCAGTGGCCGGGGACGCCGCAGATGAAGTAGGCCTTTGGGGAGGCGATGGCGAAGGAGGAATTGGGCGGGATGGTGGCGATGGGATTGTTGATGTTGCAGCCATCGAAATCGCCCTGCGTGACCTGGAGGACCGAGTGGCGGGGCGGAGTGTAGATGAAAACTGGGCAAGAGGAAAAGATCACTCGAATTGGATCCAAGATTGCAGCAAATTCACGATGAATTTCCACTTACCCAGCGAGTCTTGCCCCATCACGAAGCTGTACTTGCTCGCCCACTGCGCGTAGTCGACGCCCAGATCCCAGTGACGATCATCGCCCACCAGGTACGCTCTCGCATTCGCGCGATCGCTGAGAAGCAGGGACGATGCGATCGCCAGCAGCCAGCGGCCCATGAATGATCGATCGATCGAAGAAAGCATTTTCCTTGGAGAAGCAAAGAGAGGCGAATTGATTCGTTGGCGTGCCTTTGAATGAATGGAATCAACTCTTTCATAATTAATGAGAACTCTCTTGCGCCAAAAACATTGAGGAACTTTCCCTTTTTCTTTACGATTTGATCGATCCGTGGATCTGTGCTACTACTCCTACTACTAGCTAGCTAGAGCTTTTGTACACGCCAGGGAAGCTAGCATAGCCATATAAACAGTAAGTGTTTATACACATACCTCTCTCCTTTAAAACTCCACACTACTGCTGAGTTGCAGAGAGAACGAAGCTCGTCGCAAATTCTCGAGCGGTGTCTCGACTTGCAAAACTAGGCCAGAACTTCCGGTGTGTTCACCGTTTCTCTTCGATCGGCCCACCTGTGATAGTAGCAAGCGAACTGGGATTAAGATCACTGAGAAACGAGGAGGAAAACCAACCGAAATGGATGCAAACGCCGATGGCTCCAGCGTGAGCGAGCAGCCACAAGCAACGCTGAGTTTTTCCTTTGGCGAGTGTACAACCTCGGCTCTCCAGCCGGCGTTTCGTCCACCGAAAGTTGGAGTGACACTGCCAAACATCCAAGTTATGGAGAGGAAAACTCGAAAAAGCTATAGTACCTGAGCTGTACAGTGGGTCTCAGCATTAATCCCGACCTCTGCCACGCTAGAGGTTGAGTAACTCCAACAGACACTGATTTTTCTGGCAAGTGGAGGGACGGGCAGATTCTCGTCCCGCATTGATTCTGTGGAAGAAAAGAAAAACTTAGTTTGATCGACATGATTGAAGATATATACCTTGATTGAGAAGCTGAGTTTGCTTTCGCCGGGATGCCGACCTTGTAATTGCAGCAGTCCACCGTAAACTGGAAGAAAAGCGCTCCCGGACACACCTTCACCCGCTACGTACGTCATCTGACCATTTGGAAACTGCAAGTCCATGAAAGACTGCAAATTCGAAAGGGAATCAGTACACACCGAGTCAAGAAAAAAGAAAAGAAAAAACTTACGCATGCCAGAGGATTTAAACAGATCATTGACATGAGCAGCCATCTCCGATGCTTGGACCATATAGCCGGGCACAAGGAATGCAATCCATTCTGTCGTGAAAAACAAACACAGACTCAAGTTTCCATATAAGAAAAATTAGATTTTTTCTTGCCTCCTCCTTACCTTTCGATCAAAGCCATACCACAGCAAGTGACGCTTGGACAAATGTATCGGTAACAGAAGCGTTGTGTCCCGGACAAACAGGATAGGCCCGATTTGCAACAGGAACAAAGGAGACGAACCATTGCTCGAGGAAGCTCCTCCATGGGACGCCTCGGCCCTCCACAGGTCCCCCCTTGCGACGACCGAGCTCTCGATGTCCTGAGTCCTACTATCGTAAGTCGTAGTTACAGTGATGCTACTCTGCTCGCCACCACACACGCACAAAAGAAAAGTCACGATGCGCAAGAAAAACAAAGAAGAAGAGACAAAGGCTATTTACCTGCTTGTGGAATTGATTCGATGACTTGGTGATGGCTGCCACTAGCTCCTCTCTAGAAGCCTCGTAAGAAGCTGGCGCCTCTGCAGTGACAACAGGAGCTTCTCTCAGTCCTTCTTCCATCCTCCTTTGCCTTGCGCTAGTCGGACTTTGCCAGGAGTTCAGCATGACACCGGCATCGCTGCTACTGTCCTTCCACTCCATAGTTCCTCCGGCCAATCCATCCTCCGACCCACAATGAAAAGGAAGCGAATTCCCGGAACTCAATCCCGGCGGAGCTTTGTGGAACTGATTCACGACATGGCCGACGAAACCACCGACGCATGCCCCCAGATCCGCTCGAGCTTGTCCCAGCCTGTTCCCGAGCTCCAAAAAAGCGGAGGAGATTTCCGGAGCTCTATGAGTAATGGGAAGAAGCGGCCCCTTGCCAGAGATTTGAGCTCGCTCTCTCTCGTTCTCACCTCTTTGTTCCTGCTGCTGCTGCTGCTCCATGAACGGCCATGGCAAATTCAATCGTATGCCCCAGCTTTGCGGCTCTTGCGGGCTCACATCGTCGGCCTGTGGCACGCAAACCCCAGTGGAGGATCGAATGTGGCTCTGGAGCATGCATCCCAATCCCTGGGCCAGGGAATTAAATTTCTCGGCAATGAATCCCTGCCCGTGGCGCTGCATTTCCTCCCAGCTCTCCATCGAGATCGAGCGCTCCATCCTGCGATCACCGCCACATTCCGACCGATGGAAGCGCGAGCTAGCGAGCGAGCGCCATGCCCATTTCCCTACCTTGCTAAAACCGACCCTAGACCTAAATTTCTTCTTTAACCCTTTATGGGGTTATGTAAAACCCTAGTGATTGGTTTGGAAAGCCCTAGTGATTAGGGTTTGTTCGTGATGCCGGCGAAGAGAAAGCGGCAGCGGGTAAGATTTCCAGAGCTCCGGTTTTCGATTTCGCTGCATCGCATTCTTCTTCTCAGGATGGCCCGGCGCCAGTGCCGCTGCTTCCGCCAGAGATTCACGACGACGACATTGAGATTTCTGACGGAGATGTCGAGTTTGTGACCAAGAACAAAGGCTATGCGGGGTTCCTGAGTGGATTGGACACCAAAGGCATCACGAAGTGAGTTTTGAGTCCCCGGAATTTCGCAGAGTTTAATTCTTTGTGTTCCAGGCAAGTGCTGGGATTAAAGCCGGATTGGAATGGGGACAACCTCGAGAGATTCTACGAGAAGAAGGCAAAAGTTGCGGCAAACAAGGATTTTGACAATGCACTCACTGTTGATCCTGTGGATGCCTTGCCGATCAAAAACCCGGATGGGACGCTTGAGTATCGCAGGGTCGAGAAAGCAAAAGCAGTGCCTAGTACGGAGAAGAAGCAAGATGCAGACAAGAAAGAACAGCCGACCAAAACGAAACAAAAGGCTCAAGACAAGAGTATCAAAGCAAAGAAAGAATCAAAACCCAGAGCGAAGGGGGCAGAGGTCGAACCTGATGTAAAGAAGCCGGCCTTGCAACCAGAAGTTCTGGTATGTTTTGAGTTTCTCCTGCCGTTTTTTCTAACGAATTTCACCATCAGGAGGAGCTGCAGGAGTTCGTTTCCGTGGAAGAGAAACGCGGCCATATGAAGGAAAAAATAGCTAACCTTTCGACTGAGCTACTTTCGTGTCCCGAAGATTCAACTGGATCTTTGAAGGAGCTAATAAGCATTTGCTCGGACAAGGACGACACTGTCAAGCACTTCGCGATGCTGTCGCTCATGGCAATCTTTCGCGACATTCTTCCCGGGTACTTGAATAGCAAATAATTTACGACATTTCATACCAACTCTAATTCGTTGCAGGATCTGTATAACAGTTATCGCATAAGACCGCCTACGGAGAAGGAGCTCGAGATGAAAGTGTCCAAGGAGGTCAAGCAAACAAGGGACTATGAAGCTACTCTACTCAAATGTTACCAGGTTGGTTTTATAATTGTTCCTTCATTCACAGGCGCTGTTTGTCCAGGGGTACGTTCAAACACTCATAAGAGGGAGCTATACAGCGTCTGGTCGACATATAGCTTTGAAATGCATGTGTGGCCTTCTTGAAGCGGTTCCACATTTCAACTTTGGAGATAATTTACTTCGAGCTGTCGTCCCATTTTTGGATGCAAGTGATCCTGCTGAGAGGTATGTGTTCCGCCATTTTCTGCATACCTCCTGACGTTTCGTACAGGACTTTGGCATCCCTTGCATTGTGTTCTTTGTTTAAGAACGAGAGAAAACATGGCGGGGAAGCCACTGTGGAAGCTGTCCAGCTAATTGCTGACTATGTAAAAGAAAGCGATTGCAATGTTCAGCCCGACGTTTTACAGGCTAGTGTTTTTTGTTTCCATTTGCTCGGACTTTACTTGAGCCTATGTTTGTACTACAGGTTTTTCTGGCGCTAACTTTTGACGAAAACATTGTTAATAAGAATGAGAAGGCCCTGCACAAGCCTAAATCCAAGTTCAAGCGCGAGGACAAAAAAGAGAAAAGAAATACTTCAGCTGATGATATTCGCAAAGAGGTAGCTTGTGGATGATTTTGCTCTCTTTTATGTTTTCATTTTGTAGGTGGAAGACGACTTTCGAGAAGCTTCAACATTGCCAGATGCCAAAGAACGAAGAAAGTTGCAAACTGCTACTTTGTCAGCGGTTTTCGAGACGTACTTTCGAGTCTTGAAGGCAGCTGTGGCACCTAGTACTGCCACAGACAGCTCCAGTTCACTATGCAGCCATCCGTTGCTGGGAACTTGCCTTCAGGGCCTGCTGAAGTTCTCGCATCTCATAAGCGTCGACTTCCTTGGAGATTTGCTTGCGGTTCTTCGGAAGCTGGCCGAAGGAAAATCAAGTGTGGA